GGGGGCCCGTGGTGGCTGTGGCTGTGGCTGGGGGCCCGTGGTGGCTGTGGCTGGTATACCAGAAACCCCATGCTGTGGCCAAGAGAAGCATCTGCAGGCGGCCAGACCAGGACTCGTTATTATTGTTTTTTAAATATTTTTATTGATTTGAGAGAGAGAGGAAGGGAGAAGGAGAGAGGGGGAGAAGGGGAGAAACATCGATCCTCTGCTTCCTGCACGCTGGCCCCTGGGGATGGAGCCAGAGACCGGATGGAGGGTGAAGCCGGGCTCAGAGCTGTCAGCCTTGCCCCAGCCAGGGTCCCGGACCCCCTGGGCAGAAGCCACAGGCGGGGGCTGCTCCCGCCCAGGCAGCATGGCCTCGGCCCCAGCCGCTGGCACACTCCCCGGCCCCATCTTGGGCAGAGGACTCGGCGGAGGCCCACGGAGCCTCCCCTCTTCCCGTGGACCCTGGACCCTGCCCCCTGCCTTCCCTCCTCCACCTCCACAGAGCCTGCCCCCCTTCCCGCCGAGGAACAAGGAGCAGGGCAGCTGGCAGCCGGGTCCTGCATCCCCCTGTGGGCTGGTCCCGCCCCCACTCCCGCCCCCCACTCCCGCCCCTTGGGCTGCAGGCCCTGCAGGGGAGACCCTGGCCCAGGCTGGGCCGTCACACCAGGTGGCATGGGGTCCCTGATGCCTTCCCACACGAGACTCCAGCCCTCCCTCCACCACCCGTTCCCAGTTCCTGCTCTCGTCCCAGGAACGGAGTGGCCTGGCTCATCGGACCCCCTGCTGTCCCAGGCTCGCCCCCCACCCCAGGAAGGCCCGGGCGGCGGGGGGCACGTGGGGTTCAGTTTTTGTAACCACTCACCTCGACCTATACCACCCCAGGAAACCAGTCATCGTCCGCCCCACCCTGCAGCGTCTCTCCCAGAGGCCAACCTCTGCACCTCCAATGGCCCGCCAGCTGGGCTCTGCGGCCGGCCATGTCCACACGCTCCGTCCGGCTGCCCCTGAGTCAGGCCAAATGGACCCTTCAAGCCCTGGTGGCTGGGGCTGCTGGCGGTCAGCCCAGCCCGCTGCCCAGGAAGGTCAGGGCCTCTGCACACCCCCCCCCCGACCCCCAGCGAGGACCCTGAGCCCCGCCATGGGACTGAACCCCGCTGGGCTCCACACCCTGCAGCGGGCTCTGCGCCCGCGTGTCCGTGTCCGTGCCCGTGCCCGTGTCCGAAGGGGAGGGCACGCAGGGAAGGGGGCGGTTAGGGCAGGGAGCGGCGGCGGTGAGGCCCGGACAGGCCCCGGTGCAGAGCTCGGTGCGGGGCCCCTGGGGGGTGCGGGCTCCGGGGCTGGGGGAGAAGAGCTGGGTGCGGAGGGGGGCACCCCCTTTCTTGTACTTGGGTTTCCCGGTCTCTGGGCCAGAGGTGGACCAGGAGCTGCGGGGTAAAGATCACAGCGGCCGGCATCCAACCCTGGGGCCGCGCTTGGCCCGGGGCCAGGGCTCAAAGGCGACCAACAGTGATCCAAGGGGCAGAGGGCACCAGGCTCTCCCCGCCCACCTGCCCGGCCCCGCCCACCTGCTCCGGCCCCGCCCTCCCCGCTATGGCCCCGCCCACCCTCCTCCGGGCCCGCCCTGCTCAGGCTCCGCCCCGCTCAGGCCAAACTAAGCCCCGCCCACACCCACACTCGGTCCCACAGGCCCCGCCCGGTCCCGCCCATACGGGACGACTGGACTGGAACCCCAGGCGCTCTGGAGAGGCCTGTGGAGCGGGGCTGGGGTGCAGGTTGGCAGACAGACACATACCCAGGAACGGACCCCAACAGCGCCAAACCGATGCCCGACCCTAAGCGCCACCAGCTGGGGCGGGAGGCCGGGGTCCTGAGGGCTGGCTTCCGGCCTGTGGGGCGCTCTAGCCGGGAAGACGGGGTGGCCAGAGGCCGAAAGTCCACATCCCTTCCCCGGGCAAAGGGGGTGCCAGGGTGTCTGCTTATTTGAGGCCGGCGCTGGGACCTGCCTGTCCCGGCTCCTGACTGCCTGCGGCCTTCAGGATGGAGAGCAAAGTCCGGCCCAGTCTGACCCCTCCCGCCTCACCGCCACTCACCGCACACACACTTGAGATTGACCGCAGAGACAAGGGCTGCCCGGCCATGCTGGCCACCTGGCCACCCTAGGAAGGCGCTGAGGCCTGGGCAGGGAATGGGCCCACGGGCAGGCAGAGGGCAGCAGCAGGCCTGGGAAGGCCCCACAGCACACCCACCGGAACCAGGGCTTCCTGGCAGCTGTTGGTCCCTACACTACCGGGAGGTTCCACAGAGGGGTCCGGGGCCGAGACTCAGGGTCCCATCACCACTAGATCACAACTGACCCCTCGCTTGGCAGGCCTGGCTGTGTGCGGGAGGAGCTCCCACAAACATGGTTCTGCGGATATATATATATTGATATCTATATCTATATCTATATATATATTAATATTTTTTATTGATTTCAGAGAGGGGAAGAGAGAGAGAGATAGAAATGTCAATTATGAGAGAGACTCATTGATCAGCTGCCTCCTGCACGCCCCCTACTGGGGATTGAGCCAGCAACTGAGGCACATGCCCTTGACCAGAATGGAACCTGGGACCCTTCAGTCCACAGGCCGATACTCTATCCACTGAGCCAAACCAGTTAGGGCAATATTTTGGTTTTTTAGAGAGAGGAAGGGAGAGGGAGAGAAACATGGATGTGAAATATGTGATAGATCTGCTGCCTCCTGCTCCCTCCCCCGCTCCTACCAAGGACAGAGCCCACAACCTGGGTGTGTGCCCTGACTGGGAATCAAGCCGGCAACCTTTGGGAGCATGGGGCAACACCCAACCACTCCATTCCTTTTTACATCATCACAGATATGTGTCCCACCAACACAGTTCCATCCTCATCCTGGGAAAGAAACCGATGACCTCTCAGCAGTCACTCCCCCCCACCCCCACCCCTGGTGACCGCGGATCTACCCTGTCTCCACAGGTTTGCTATTCTGGACATTTCATGTAAACAGATCTCTGGGGACTGGCTACTTCCACTTAGCACCAATGTTTCCAAGGATCGCCCATGTTGTAACAGGTGTCACAACTGCATTCCTCTGATGACCCAGTAATTTTCCATTGTGTGGAGACACAGTTTGTGTGTCCATTTGCCCGTTGACGGACATTACCTGCTGCCCGCTTTTGGCTATTATGAATAACGAGAGGCCCGGTGCATGAAATTCATGCATGGGTAGGGTCCCTAGGCCTGGCCTGTGATCAGGGCTGCTTCCTTTCTCCAGCTGCCAGCTGCCGGCTGCTGGCCGGGGCCTTCCTCAGTTCTGCACTGCCCCCTGGTGGTTAGTACATGTCATATCAAGTGGTCGAACTCCCCGTGGGTCAAACTCCTAAGGGGACAATTTGTGTATTAGCCTCTTATTACATAGGATGCTGCTGCTGTGACATCGAATAAAAGCAACCTCATTTAGCCGTAACCGGTTTGGCTCAGTGGATGCAGCGTCGGCCTGCAGACTCGAGGGTCCCAGGTTCGATTCCGGTCAGGGGCACAAACTTTGGTTGCTGGCACATCCCCAGTGGGGGTTGTGCAGAAGGCAGCTGATAGATACTTCTCTCATTGATATTTCTAACTCTATCCCTATCCCTTCCTCTCTAAAAAAAAAAAAATCAATAAAATATGTCTTTAAAGAAAATAAAGAAAAGAAAAGAAATCTCATTTAAATGGAGTCCGGAGGCCTGAAGGGGGAGCCCTCACACATGATTCCAGGTCAAGTACACCCCAGTGGGAAGAATCTGTTACAGACTCAACAGGAAAAGACTCTGCATTCCCAGCCAGATGCGTCCCACTACCCAGCGGGGGCAAGGGAGAATCTCTTCTGCCCAGCAAGCCCAGCCAGTGGGAACCATGGCAAGTAGGCCAAGGAGCAGCCTCCATCCCCCACCCCACCCCACTCACCATCCTACAACCGGCTTTCACTCACATGCCTTTCTCTCTGAGGGACCCCCTCTCCTCTGCCACTGGACTTGCTCTGAGTTTCCGCGATAGCATGTTTGTCCTGAACTGCAATCCTCTGGGGTTCCGGAATAAACCCACTTTTCTGGTCAATAACTGGCTGTTTTTAAAAATTTCATTTTAAAAAACATATGTTTTTATTGATTTCAGAGAGGAAGGGAGAGATAGAAACATCCATGGTGAGAGAGAATCATTGATCGGCAGCCTCCTTCATGCCCCATCCTGGGAATGGATCCCACAACCCGGGCATGTGCCCTGACCAGGAATCAAACTATGACCTCCTGGCTCATAGGTCAATGCTCAACTACTGTGGGCCTGGCTCTTGGCCTTTTATTTTTTTAAATAACTGGCTGTGAACCTGTATACCGAGGAGGGGAATTGCTGGTCATATGGTAACTGTTTAGCTGAGTTGCTGTAAGACTCTTTCTCAGAGGGGCTCAGGGCTACAGGTTTTTGGGGGCCGGTCTATATCAACAAATTGAGTCACCCCAAATCAACTCGTCCTCACTATTCTAACCAGCAATTTTCACGAGATCCTGCAGGCTGGAGTCCGGAGGTCCTGACAGCTCTGGTCCCTCGGACCTGGGGCAGGGGGTCCACCAGGAAGGCGCTCCAGGAAAGCGCGGGCCGGGCTGGGGGCCGGCTCCGGTCAGGCCGCCTGAGGAGGGGGATTAGGGGGCCCCAGCCTCTGGCGGCTCTCAGCAGTCCGCAGCCGGTTACCTAGCAACCGGACGGCATCCTTCCCAGCAAGCACCACTTCTAATCCTTGAGGTCGGAGACTACGAGGCCCAGCATGCCCCGCGGCCCAGGATGCGGACTACATGTCCCACAATGCACCGCCTACCCTTTCCTAGCCGCCCCCGGCCCCTGCTCTCCGGAGACCCCGCCGGCGAGCGCCGCGACCCCTTCCCTTCCCGGCGCTCCGCGCGCGGCGCTCTCGCGGTGACCCGGGGAGCGTGAGGTCAGCGTGCGCCGGAGCGGCTCGGGCCGAGGCGCCATGCGGAGGGGCGAGCGCAGGGGCGCCGGGGGGCCGCGGCCGGGGTCCCCGGTCCCCGCGGGCAAGGCCGCGCTGGAGGAGCCGCCGGCCGCCGCGCCCGCCGGCCGCCGCAGCACCGAGTCCGAGGTCTACGACGACGGCACCAACACCTTCTTCTGGTGAGGGGTCCGCGGGGCGCGGGCGCGGGGCGCGGGCGCGGGGGCGTGGCCACCCGCGGGCTCCGGGGTCGGGCTGGGGGCCGGCCCGCGGCCGCGGGGTCCCGGCGGCTCCCTCCCTCCCCGGAGCCCGCGGACGTGGCTCAGCCGCACCCGGACCGGCTTTTCCTGACCTCCCGGCGCCGCCGCCGCCGCCGCCTCTGCCCCCGCCGCCCGGGCGCCGGGGCCGGGCCGCGGGGGCCGGGGGGCAGGGAGCGGGGCCGCGGGCGGCGGCGCCCCCGCCGGGCAGCTCCGCTCCGGCCCGCGCGGCGCCCCCGCCGCTGGAGCGGCCGGCGGCCCGGAGCCTGCCGCTGGCTCTGACCTTGGTCTAACCCTTCACCTCCGCCCGCTCCCGGCGGAGAGAGCCCGCCATGGGGCGCGCCGTGCCCTCCTGGCGGGTGGCGGCGGGTCCCGCCGAGGCGCCGCTGGCTGTGACCGGGGGCGGCGCTGGCTCTGCCCCCCAAGCGGGGCGGCCGGAGGGGCCTGGGAACGGCTCCCCGAGGACCCCGGGCGGGACAGCCGGCCGCGCTGCCCCCAAACCTCAGGGGGCGTGTGGCAGGGAGGGGGGGTCCTGCTTGGTGTGTGACGCGCGGAGGCCGGTGGGGGGCGTCTCCTGTGGGGAGACTCCATGCTGGGGGGGAGGGGGCGGTGGAGGGAAGGAGGAGGGATGGTGCCTTGTCCAGGGGGCGTGGCCCAGGCTGGGGCCCAGGCCGCTGGGTCCTGCTGGACACGGTGTGTGCTCAGGCCTGCCCAGCTGTGGGGGGGGGGGGGGACCCCGGAGACAGGCTCTGGATCCGCGCTGGGCCCTCCTGGGCGCCGGCGCCGGTTCTGGCAGCTTCTGGCACCAGCCTGGTCTCATGGCACAGCCCCCCGGGAGCTGGGAGCACCCCCTCGCCGGGACTGAAGCCGAAGCTGAGCCCGCCTGCGCGGAGGGCGACGGGCCAGGAAGGAGGGGCCCCGGGCAGGCTGGTCTGGGGGCCTGCCTTGCGGTGGGGTGGGCGGCCCTGGCTCCCCACGCAGGTGTGAGGCGGGCTGTGCTCTGCCCGGGGGCGGGAGGGGCGTCTGTGCGCTGCGTCCGGGGCTCCCCCTCGTCTGTGCGGGTCCCGGGCTGCCTGGCCGTGCGTCCCCTCAGAGATCAGCATTTGACCTCGGAGTTCCCCTCGCTGACCATGCTAGGACTTTAAAAACTCCTTTACCCCAGGGTTTTAGTAGAAATTAGAGATAAAAACACGCATTTGTGGAAACGACTGTCCCGCCTCACTCAGGGCACTGCGGCTCGAACCTTGCTTTTAAGTTTCCCTCTCCCAGGAGGCCGGGCTTGGGGGCCCATGATGGTGTGGAGGCCACATAGGAGGATTTGGGGTTCTCTGTTACTGCTTAGCAGCCACGGGGCGTGGGCTCCCCCAAACCCAGTCCCTGGGAGGAGGTGTGAGGACCCTGCTGCCTCTGCTCATTGTGGTGCCCGCTCACATCCGAAGCCTGTTGGGGAGCCCGTGGGGAGGTGCCAGCGACGCCCCCTGCAGGTGGCAGGCCGCGGTATCAGGCTTCCTGGCTCCTGGGACATGGGAGTGCCCAGCGTGCCTGTCCCGGTCACTGTGGGGAGGGTTTGCGGCTTCGCCCACCTGTGGGAAGGGCGACGCCCAGCTTTTGCCTGTCAGCGTGGTCAGCGTCCCAGCCCCACGCCCCCTGCACGTCCGTGCCCGGCCTCTGCCCCGCCGCCCCTGGCCGAGGCGCTGGGCACGTGTCTGGCCACACCTGTGTTTTCTCGGACGGGCTGGCAGGCCTGGTGAGTGGTGACCGACTGCCGGCGTTTTCCACGGCGGGCGGGGCGCCAGCTGTCCTCACGCCCTCGCCCTGCCAAGCGACCGAGAGTCACAGGGTTTCCAGCTGCTGCGTCCGTCCGATCACAGGGCCCACCCCTCCCCAGGTGAGGCGCTAGCCACCAAGCACAGGGTGCACACCTGCCCCGAGGGAGGGTGCGGCCGGAGCAGGTCTGCCTGCCTCTCCTCAGCGCCCTCCCCATGACTCCCACGCGAGAGGAAGCGGGCGTGAGCGAGGAGGAGCGTTTTCTGCTAACCACGCTCGCAAGGTGACACTTCTGTGCGCGCTGGGAAGAGGAGCGGAGGCTCCGGTCACTCAGCGGCCACGCCCGTGCTGAGTCCACGTGGAAGGCGCTCAGAGCTGAATGAGGGGTGCTTAAGGCTAAGTACCCCTGCTGTCAGCACGGAACAGCATCCAGCTGCACTTGGCCTTGGGGCAGCACAGGGGGCGTCTGTGCCTCAGGTCCTGCAGGCTGGCCCTGCCCGCGTGGACGGGCTGCTGGCGTGCGGGCGCTGCCGGTCTCCTCCCGGACGCCTGGGCCACGTTTTGTTGAAGACCCTTGCCTAGCATTCCACCCTCTGGGCGGGCGGCTGTCAGTCCCTGGCTGGGCCCTGGTGGGCACCTCCTGCGGCCGGGTTACTTCATGGCCGTGTGCGGTGCGAGGAGGAAAGAGCACTGTGGCCGCCCCTGAGGCCGGCGAGCACTGGCTGGAGGGCCCCGCTCCCAGCTCCTCCCGGCTCCTCCCGGCCTGGTCTGGGGGCCGTTCTGTGGCCCCCGTCCTGACTGGTGCCCACAGGCCGTTTCGCACTTTCTGGCGTGTTTTGTCCCCACGTGACCATTCAGTGACGCTGAGTCCGGGGTGCCGTTCCCTGAGCTTTCGCACACGTGGCTCCTATAACCCCCTCACAGGAGGCCAGTCGCTGCCCCCACCTGCAGGCTCTCCCCTCCTCCAGGCCCGCAGCTGGCGCCTCCGCTCTGCTGAGCGGGGCTCTGCGTTGGGTCCTGCCATCCTGGCATTCCCGGGTTCGAGTGCTGACACGCTTGCACGCAGGGCCCCCTCTTCTGCGTCCCCTTGCTGTCCTGCCTTCTCTGCTGTGTTCCGCTCAGCCACTGTGTTCTTATCTTCTCCTTTAAAAAATAAGTTTTTATTGATTGTTAGGAAGGGAGAGGAAGAGAGAGAGAGAAACATGGATAAGAGAGACACGCATTGGCTGCCTCCTGCACATCCGCTCCTGGGCATGGAGCCTGCAACCCAGCCTGACCTTTGACCAGAATAGAACCGTGACCTCCTGGTTCATACACTCAACCACTGAGCCACACTGGCCGGGCACCATGTTCTTATTAATATTTTCTGCCCGCTGCTCTAGGGCAGTGATCGGCAAACTCATTAGTCAACAGAGCCAAATATCAACAGTACAACGATTGGAATTTCTTTTGAGAGCCAAATTTTTTAAACTTAAACTTCTTCTAACACCACTTCTCAAAATTGAGTCGCCCAGGCTGCGGTCTTTTATGGAAGAGCCACACTCACGGGGCCAAAGAGCCGCATGTGGCTCTAGAGCCGCAGCTTGCTGACCACAGCTCTAGGGCCTCAGTGAAAGCCCTGAGCCCTCCCACTCAGCGTCCGGTGAAGGGCGGCCGGCGCTCTCCCTGGTCCTGAGACGCTGGCTGGTCCTCAGACCAGAGCAGCGCATCCTGCCGACCCAGAGCAACTGCCTTCCGCCCGCCATCCGCTCCTCAGGGCCTGGGAGGCCAGCACTGCGCCACGATCCCCCCTCACCGAGCGACGGCCCCTCCCAGCCCCGCCTCGTCGCGGCGGGCGCCTCCCTCTGCTCGGCGAGTGGAGCGGCCGCGCCACTGTTGCTGTGACAGCCTGTGCTTCACGGACGCCCTGGCCTGGGCTGGCCAGTTGCTTGCTGTCTTGGCTCCCTCGCCTGTAAAACAGACATAATGCTCTGATGCTCTCCTTCCTGAGCTGCAGCAAAGACTAAGAATGAAATGTGGCCCTGACCGGTGTGGCTCAGTGGCAGGAGCGTGGGCCTGCGGACTGAGGGGTCCCAGGTTCGATTCCAGTCAAGGGCATGGACCTTGGTTGCGGGCGCATCCCCAGTAGGAGGTGTGCAGGAGGCAGCTGATTGATGTTTCTCTCCCATTCATGTTTCTAACTCTCTGTCCCTCTCTTTTCTTCCTCTCTGTAAGAAATCAATAAAATATATCTTAAAAAAGAATGAAATGTGGTAAGAAGAAGAGCACACACACAGGAGAGAAGAGTCGACTTCATGTGCGTGCCTGGTGCCCTCTCCCCCGTCCCGGTGGCCGCGGGCGCCTCCGGGGCTCCCCTCTGCCGGGGCCTCTAGCGGTTCCCGGGGAGCGGGTGTGGGCCGCCTGCCGCGCTCCCCGTGAGAGCCTTTCCTTCGGAGGGTGCCCGCTGGGTGCGGACTCCTCCCGAGAGGAAGCATCTCCCGGAAATGGAGACACTGAGGCTCCGGGTCCGTCCTCTCTGCAGGGGCCCGGGCGCTGGGCTGTGACGCCTTCGCAGGGGGCCCGGCCATGTCTGAGCGGGTGATCTGCCTCCCACATCGGCCAAGGGCCAGGCCGGGCCCGGGGTGACCGAGGCCAGAGCCCACGCCTCCCTCAGCACCTCGGAGCTCCTCCATGCAGGCTCCGTGAGGGTGCACCTGTGGCCCGGGGGTCCCTCACCGCCTCCCTTTCTGCTTCCTGGCTGTGGCCCGGGGTCCCAGGCGGTCATGGCAAGGCCCACAGGCTGGCCATCGCGCCCGCCCGCCTGCGCAGCAGCACACGGTCCTCTGAGTGCAGCCCCCACCGCCCCGGTGGCTGAGTGCTCCTCCCCCGAGCTCGGGGTCCCCCCAGCGAGGGACGCTCCGCCTCTCAGAGTCGGGGTGTGTGTCGCACGGGGGCCTGACTGCGGTGTGTTTGGTCCCAGGCGCGCGCACACGCTCACCGTGCTCTTCATCCTCACCTGCGTGCTGGGCTACGTGACACTGCTGGAGGAGACGCCGCAGGACACGGCCTACAACACCAAGAGGTAAGCCGGCTGCTGCCTGCTGGGACGGGGGCGGCCAGCAGGGCTCGGGCACCAGGCGGGACAGCCTCGAGGCCTGGCAGTGCCAGGGCCGCCGGTCGGCCGCGTTGGCGGGACGGGCTGCAGACTGTCTGGGGAGCCAGCGCTGGCTTCTGTATGTGAGGTCACCACCTGCCGGGCTCCTGCTGGCTGTGTCCTGCGCCTGCTGTGGGGCGGGGAGCCACCTGCAGCTGTCCCGCTAGCTGTGGCCGCCAGGGCTCCGGCTCAGGGATGTGCTCCCTCACGGACCCTGTCTTGTCCGCACCCATCATGCTGGCTCCCCCGAGGGGTTTCTGCCCTCTCCCACGCCGTCTCCCGCCAGCGCCCCGGGCCCTCCTGCATCCCCCAGGCCTGGGTGTCCGCCCAGCAGTCCGCACCGCTCCCCGGCTCTGCCTCCTGCTGCTGTGCCCCCTGGCCCGGCCCCGGACTGCACTCCGGCTGCGGCAGGCTGCCTGGGCAGCCGTCCTGCTGGAGGCGGGAGGCGGCTGTGCCCTGTGCCGGCGGCTGGCTCTGCGGCAGGCCCATGGGGAGGACCTGGGCCCGTGGGTACAGAGACACAGGCTGTGGGCAGGAGCCACGTCTGCCTAGAGGGGATTTCCAAGTAGAACTTGGTCTTTTCTGTGAGCTTGGCTGGATTTGTTGACTTTAAGGAAATAAGTAATTTGACCAGAAAAAAGTGGGTTTCTTTGGGAACAGCAAAGAATTACAATTAGAGCCGGCACCGGTTTGGCTCAGTGGATAGAGCGTCGGCCTGTGGACTGAAAGGTCCCGGGTTCGATTCTGGTCAAGGGCATGTACCTTGGTTGCAGGCACATCCCCAGTAGGGGGTGTGCAAGAGGCAGCTGGTCGATGACTCTCATCTATGTTTCTAACTCTCTATCCCTCTCTCTTCCTCTCTGTGAAAAATCAATAAAATATATTAAAAAAAAGAAAAAAAAGAATTGCAATTAGAACGAGCAAGCAAGTGGAGTTGAGAGGAGAGAAGCGCTCTCTGGGGAGGAAGGCCTGGGAGGCGGGAGGCCCCCTCCCGAGTCCTGGCGCCATGTCTGGACCTGGCTCTGTTGGGCTGTAACTGGTGACCCTTCCAGAGCAGCGGTTCTCAGCCTGTGGTCGGGACCCTTTCCCAGGGTCGCCGAAGCCATGGGAAAACGGACACTTACGAACGATTCACAACAGTAGCACAATCACAACGGAAATAACTGTGGCCCCGCTGAGGGTCACTGCCTCAGGAGGAGCTGCATTAAGGGTCAGGGCCTTAGGAAGGTGGAGAACCGCTGCTCTAGAGCCTTCCCCGGGTCAGTGAGGGCGCCCCCCTCTGGCGAGACTCCGCGCCAGCCAGGTTTCCTGTTGGCTGTGTGGAGGGTCCGGCACAGCCGGCAGGGAGGCCGGGAGGCAGGGAGGCCGGGGCGGGCGTGGCCACTGAAGAGCCACGCTGTGAAGTTGGGCAGAGGTGAGCAGTTCCCATGTCACTGGCCTCGCCAGCAGGTGGCAGCACCGGGCCTGGGCTGTGCCCGGCCGGGGCCCTGGGCGGGCAGCTCCCTGCAGGGCTGACGCCGAGCACCGTGGGGAATGGCCTTCCTCAGGCTTCCACTCGGCCGTGTGCCCGTTCTTTTGGGGCTTAGCCGGCGCTGTCGCTTGGGGGGAGGAGGCTGATTTTCCGTGTGAGTCACGTCATTGGGTATAGTTCAGCATGCACAGCCGCAGGCCGCCCCGTGCCAGGCCATTGCCCGCGGTACAGCTCCGGGGAGGGGGTCGCTCAGCGAGCGCCGTGCGCCGCTCCCACCCCGGTGGTTGTGACGTCACAGGGCGCCGCTCCGCCCGGTTCGCACGCACATGTCCGTGGCCCGTTTGCCTCTGGCGGCACGGACGTTTACTCGCAGCATTACTGCACACACGGTCCCCTGAAGGCCGGGGACCGGCCCGGACCGCCCAAATGGCCTGCAGAACTCACTGACAAGGGGCCTGCTTCCAGACCGTGCAGAGAGCTCTCAAAACCCCCGGAAGACGCGCAGGTAAAGAGGCGGCCTGAGGACTGGCCTGTGCACCGAAGGGTCTGGGACTCGATTCCCGTCGGCATGTTCCCGGGTTGCAGGTTCGATCCCCAGCCCCCAGTCGAGTACATGCAGGAGGCAACCAGTCCTGGTGTCCCTCTCCTCAATCAGCGATTCTCTCTCTTCCCTCCCCCTCCCTCCTTCCCTCCCTTCCGCTGTCTCTAAAAATCAGGAAAAATGTCCTGAGTGAGGATTAACACAAAGGAGGCTCTGTTACCGGGGGAAGTATAGTTCCAGGAAAGGCCTGGTCTGTGCTCCGGAGCAGCCGAGTGGTGACCAGCCACTGAGAGCAGCTCCAGGCTGAGCTCGACCCGAGGCAGCAAAGCCAAGGCCAGGCCCCCCTGGGCTCCCTGCGTGCCTGCCCGGGGCGTGGGTTCCTGTCGCCCCGGGTCCCCAGACTGGCCGCCTGCACCTGCCAGGGAATAACGTTCAGTCTGCTGCAACGCTGCCGCTTACCAAACTGTCTGAGTCTTAGCGAACCCCGAGAAGGTGTTCTTTGTGTGGGAAGAACCGGCAGTGTCCCCCACGGAAGGTCCCTCACCACGCAGGCCGCGGAGTCTGCTCCCTGGCACGGCCCCCGCAGCCTGCGGCCTGGCTGCTGGTCGGGAGAAGGGGCGGGCTGATGCCAGGGGGTGTGCAGGCTTCCAGCGCTGAGGGGCTCCGAGGGGCAGGCCGCGACCACGGGGGTGGTGGCAGGCGTGCCCCCGTGGAAACCGTCTTCCACCAGCCCGGGCCCGCAGCAGCTCCTGAGGTCAGCGTGGGGGCCAGCGCACCGCACTGCACGGGCAAACGTGCTGCAGACCCAGGGGCGGGCGGCAGGGTGCCCACAGCCGCGCTGCTCAGGCACCCCGTGTCGCCCATCCTCCTTCCTCCGATCTGGCCGCGGACGGCGGCGGGTGGCAGGCTGGCACTGGGCGGGACGCGCAGCCCCGCCTCTGCCCGCTGTGGCTGAGCCTCGGCGTTTCAGACGCGGATCGGCTCCCGCCGCGGAGCCGTGCTCAGTGGCCACACGGACAGCGGGCTCTGAGCCCCACGCTCTCGGCTCCGGCAGCGGTTTCAGTCTCCCGGGTCCGGAGGAGGCCTGTCTGACCGACAGGAAGCCGGGCTCCCGCTGTCGTAGGGAGCTGCTGAAAAGCCCTCCTGCTCTTACCGTCTTGTCACAGCGAGAATCTCCCCGAGAATTCTCCCCTGAACTCCTCAGCCTCCTCTCTCCCTGCAGTTCCTCTTGTTACTGCCAGAGGCCCGGTGCGTGAAAGTCATGTTGAGGGCAGGCCGCGGGGGAGCCGTGCGGCGGGGCAGTGACGGGTACAACGTGCAGCCAGAGCGGGGCTCTCTCCGCGGTGCCCAGGCCCGGCTTCCGGCACCCTGCCCCCGGGAGAAGCCGCGCTCACGCACCCTGAGGCTGTTTGTTCTTTGTTCGCAGAGGTATTGTGGCCAGTATTTTGGTTTTCTTATGTTTTGGAGTCACACAAGCTAAAGACGGGCCATTTTCCAGACCTCATCCAGGTAACTCGCCGTTTCGTGTTGTGTGTGTGCCCACCCGCGCGATTCTGCTCTGCGTGGCCGCTCTTTGCTGCTGTGCGTGCCCTGCCCTGCCCCGTGGACCGGCCCCGGCGCACACATCTGGGCTCGCCATCGGCGCCGGGGAGGAGCCGGGACCGCCACGGGCCTCAGGGCCGTGTGGGAGGCTAGCGGGCACGTGCTTCTGCGCCCTGGAGCTGCAGGGCCTGCCCCCTCTGCACTCGCTCCTGCCTCTGCCTCCGGACCGGAGCCCTGCGGGCAGTTGTGGGCGATGTGGGAGGAAGAGAGGCTGCGCGGAGCCCGGCCTAAGCCAATGTCAACAGCACGACGATTGAAGTTTCTTTAGAGCCACGTTTTTTAAACTTAACCTATGTAGGTAGGTGCGTTGTTATTAACTTAATCAGGGTGCCAAAACCTCCAGGGGCCAAAGAGCCGCAGTTTGCCATCCACTGTCCAGGGCACTGCACTGCTTTCTGTGGCCGAGGGTCTTCGCACGGGGGCTGGGGGGTCACAGCTGTGACACCAGCACGCGGGACAGGAAGCACAGGCAGGCATCTAGAGGGAGCCGGCCCGGCTCACCTGCAGCCCCCGGGGCGCGGCGCCCAACACACAGGGCTCACTGCACGCGCACCTCCCCATCCCCCGCCCGCCGCACCTCCATCCCAGCCTCACGGGCGCGCTGCACGGGGTGGGGGGGGGGGGGAGGCTCCCGAACGGCCGGCCAGCCCCCTCAGCCCCGAGTCCGAGAGCTGTGAGTGCCCTCCGGGCCCGGGCCCGGCTCTTCCGCGCCGGCTGGGGGTGGCATCACCTGCAGAGGGCAGGAGAGCGTGGGCCTTAGGAGACAGGCGGGCCCCCGGCCGCCTTTAGGAGGGTTTAGACGGCTCTCCTCCCACCCCCCGCCACCCCCGTGACCTCACGCCGAGAAGAGCCGGCTTCCTGGCAGAGGCACCACTGCCGTGTTCTGGTGTAGCACATGCGGGGACACACACACCCACACACCACACGTTACACACACTATACACCATACCACACAACATACACACATAACACACACACACACACACACACACACACACCACACCATACACACACTATACACCGTACCACACAACATACAGACATACCGCACACTCCATACGCGCGCGCGCATACACACACACACACTCACTATACACACCACACGCCAGTCTGTCCGTGTGCGCTGCAGTGAGGACGGAACGGGGGAGGGAGGGAGGAGAACCTTGGGAGGGAAGCGTGCTTCCCTGAGGAACCTGCGGACTGAGGGCCGGACAGGCGTGTGCAGACCCGGCCGCCCCTGACGCTGTGCTCCCTTGCAGCGTACTGGCGGTTCTGGCTGTGTGTCAGCGTGGTCTACGAGCTGTTCCTCATCTTCATCCTCTTCCAGGTGAGCGCGGGGCCCGGGGCCGGGCTGGGCGGCCCGGAGGAAGGCGGTGAGGGTTTGCACGCGCCCTCAGTGTCAGCAGAGTGTGGCTGAGGTGTTGGGGCTCCACTCGGGACGGTGTGCAAACGGGGAGCCCGAGGGCGGTGCCTCCTGCAGCCGACGAGAGGCTGTCCCTGCAGAGCAGGCTCTTTCCTGCCTGTCCCCGGGCCTGTCCGTGCCCTGATCGGGCAGCTCCCCTTCTGGTTGGTTGTAACGAGCGGCTCTGACCGGGCGGCACAGTGCGCAGGCGTGTGCCGTGCAGCTTGGGGGTGGCGTGGTGTCAGCCGTCGGAGGGCAGGGGACACCGGGAGCTGCGCTGTAAGCCGGCTCCGCCACCCTCCCTGCAGTCCGAGGCCGCGGCTCGGTCCCAGGCTTGTCCCTGCAGCGCCGTCTGCCCGAGGCCTCTGTCACGAGTTTGCCTGGTTAAGCACAGGAGCCTCCGGGTCCACCGAAGCTGAACCCCAACAAGAGTGAGCGGAGGCTGCAGGCTCGCCGGCGGGGGCTCCGTGGGTGGCATCCACCTGTGAACAGCTCACGGCTCCGTTCCGTCAGGGCACAGGCCGGGTGTGGGCTCCATCCCCGCGTGCAGGAGGCGCCGATGGATGTCTCTCTCTCCCGCTCCCTTCCTGTCTCTAAAAAGCAACGAAAACTTTAAAAAGTGAGAGGAGGCTGAGAGGGACCTCGGCAGGAGCCGTGCTGAGCTGGGCGCTGGGACCGGAGCACATCTGCCGGGGCTGGTGCTCACTGGGTTCTGTGGTGGCTGACAGCTGTGGCTCCGTGTGCTTCCCTCCGTCGCGGTGTGTGTCCGGTGCGTGTCCTGCGGGTGCGTGTCCTGCGGTGCGCGTCCTGCGGTGCGCATCCTGCGGTGCGTGTCCGATGCGTGTCCTGCAGTGTGTGTCCTGTGGGAGTGTGTCCTGCGGTGCGTGTCCTGCGGTGCGTGTCCTGCGGTGCATGTTCTGCGGTGCGTGTCCGGTGCGTGTCCTGCGGTGTGTGTCCTGTGGGAGTGTGTCCTGCGGTGCATGTTCTGCGGTGCGCGTCCTGCGGTGCGTCTCCTGCGGGTGCGTGTCCTGCGGTGCTGTCCTGGGCCGGTCAGGGAGGGAGTGGGCATTGGGTCGGCATCTGCTGCCTCTGGCGCCCGTGCTGGTGCCGTGCGGGGAGCTCCCACCCGGAGCGCCTGCTGCTCAGCGCAGGGCGGCCCGGGCAGCGTGCCGCGTGCGGCCACGGAACGGTCTCCTCCCCCAGGAGTGCTCACGCCTGTCCGTGTGCGTGGACGCAGGTGGACGGCGGTGCAGATTGTGTGAGCGCAGCCTCGTTCGCGCAGAAGCCCTGCTCAGCAGCTGCTTCTCCGGAGGCTCCCGCCCGCAGCCTGGTTCCGTCCCAGCCCCACCGCGCACTGGGCGGCCCGGCGCTGGCCTTCCTCGTGGTTCCGCCTCCTGGCGTTGCCAGGGGGAGACGGGGGACGCTCAGGTCCATGTTGCTTTGTCGTCTGTGTGTAGAAACAGCTCGTTTGTGAGCATGGAGCGGGGGCCGGCAGCTGCTCAGCTGGCTGGAGCTGCCCGGCTTTGCTGCTGCTGGGTGGACACGGGCTGCGCCGCCGGCACAGGGCAGTTCTGTGCCCCCCTCGCGGACCTGCACGGCCCAGCCAGGCCCCGCCACCGCCGCCACACGGGGAGGTGGGCAGTGGGCAGCCCGCTCCAGGGAGAGCCTCCTGTCCGTCCTCAGGGTGCCATCAGCGGGGCTTCCCTGGCGCCCCTGTAGGTGGGGCAGTCCGGCTCCTGGGCTGTGAGTGTCTGTAACCTGGACACGTGCTGGGGTTCGACAGACGAGGTGAGCGTGTGGGGTTCCCTCCGTGGCGTGATGTCTGCGTTCTCACTGTGAGCCAGCCAGCGTCTCGGGGACCCGCCCGGTGCCCCCCGCGTGCCGAGGCCCGTGCGGCCAGCATCACTTATCGCTGTGGACCCCCCGGGCGTCGGTCCCTCCCTGGGACTGGGGGCGGCTGCGCACAGCAGCCTCCTGCCGAGCACCTGGCGGCCTGCCCCGGCCGCGGCGGCAGTGCCCGTGCTGTGTCCGCGCTGTCGGGGGCTGCGGTGCTGGGGTTGGATCAGCACTCGATGGGTTTCACTGCCCGATGGCTTGGCTCCTGCACCTCACCCCGTGGTGGTGGTTCTGGGCACGTCCCTCCTCTGGCACCAGAAGGAAGTCACTGCGGCCCAGCCTGGCCTTCCCACAGGCGCACGGACAAACACTGCCGTCACTCTGCACCCCGTCCCTGTGTCCGTCCTGGGAGCCGTACAGGGAGGGCCGGGCCCCTGGCCTCGGAGCGGGAGGGCCTCGGTCTGTCCGGGCGGTGGCCCGTCCTCCGGAGAAGCCAACATCCCCGCCACGACCCACCGCGGGCTGAGTGCCCACCCTCCGACCGGGCACAGCACACGGGGCCTCAGCTCCGCAGCACGCCCGCCTGAGGGCACTTCCAGGGGCCCGGCCTGCGCCCTGGGGCACGGGCAGGAGGGCTCGGCAGGGCAGGAGGGCTCAGTCACGGGGCAGGAGGGCTCAGTCACGGGGCAGGAGGGCTCAGTCACGGGGCAGGAGGGCCAATCACGGGGCAGGAGGGCTCAGTCACGGGGCAGGAGAGCTCAGTCACGGGGCAGGAGGGCTCGGCGGGGCAGGAGGGCTCGGCGGGGCAGCAGGGCTCAGCGTGGGGCAGAGGCAGTCTGGGTGCCGCCTGTCACTCAGGCGCTGGGTGCTCCTTGGGGCGGGTGGGCAGGGTCTGTGAGGAGCAGGCTGTGCTGATGCTGGCGTCTGCCAGAGGTGGGCTTCCTTTCGCTGTGTTACATGGGGAGGCAGTGAGACCAGCGATCGGAGACTCTGTGCTGGGCCACCCCGTCCCTCCCTCGGGGCCCCTGTGAGCCACACGGCGAGGTCCGTGGGGCGGAGGTCACTGGGGCTGGGCCTCCCCGGTCTGCTCAGCCCGAGTGGGGGACGGCGTGTGGTCGACGGCAGTGCCGTCTGCGGGGGCGGGGGCTGTGCCGGGCGGGCGCCGGCCACTCACGCGGCCCTGGCCTTGCAGACGGTGCAGGACGGCCGCCAGTTCCTGAAGTACGTGGACCCCAGGCTGGGGGTCCCGCTGCCGGAGCGGGACTATGGGGGGAACTGTCTCATCTACGACGCAGACAACGAGACAGACCCCTTCCATAACGTCTGGGTAAGGGGCTGCCGTCCCGCGTGGGGGGGGCGGTCCCCGCTGGAGGGCCCTGTGTCTTCGGGGTGAGGCTGACTCAGCGCACCTGTGTGCAGCCCCGGGTGGTCCCTGGGCCTGGCAGGCGCGGTTCGAGGCCCGGGCTGTGCGGGGTCCCGGGCCGGCCCGCCGGCGGGGCTGCACAGGGTGGGGTGTAAGGCCTGCGTCGCGCCCACAGGACAAGCTGGACGGCTTTGTGCCCGCGCACTTCATTGGCTGGTACCTGAAGGTGAGGAGCTCGCGGCTGCTGCATGTCGTTTGCCACCCGCCCCGGGGCCTGGCCTTTGCCGGTGATGGGTGACGTTCGTGCGTGTGGTGTCGGGGGTGGGAACCATGGAGAGGCCCCGGCGCCGCCCGTGCCTGTCCCCCCCCCGCCCCCGCGGGCGGCTCCGGAGGGGCTGACACCGGCGTGCCCGGCCGCAGACCCTGATGATCCGCGACTGGTGGACGTGCATGATTGTGAGCGTCATGTTCGAGTTCCTGGAGTACAGCCTGGAGCACCAGCTGCCCAACTTCAGCGAGTGCTGGTGGGACCACGTAGGTGCCTGACGGCCCCGCCCGGCCTGGCCTGGACCTCGCGTCCGCGCCAGGCCCGCCCGCCCTGCAGGGGAGGGGAGGGGAGGGGAGGCCACGGAGCTGCAGGGCCCACGCTGCCTCCCGCCTCCAGTGGATCATGGACGTGCTGCTCTGCAACGGGCTGGGCATCTACTGCGGCATGAAGACCCTCAAGTGGCTGTCCCTCAAGACGTACAAGTGGCAGGGCCTCTGGAACATTCCGACCTACAAGTACGTCCGCCGAGGGGGTGCTGCGGGGCCCTGTGCCATCCACGCGTCAGGAGGGGGCGGGCGAGGGTTTTGCCTCCTGTCCTCGCCCCCTGGGCTTTGACCTGGGCTGTCCTCCCGGCGGCAGGAGGCAGCCCGTGCGTCCGGCCCGCGGCCGCGCCTGCAGCCTCGTGGCGCGGGCGCAGGCTCAGGCTCTGCCGTTTTCATTTTGTTTTTTTGTTTTTTGTTTTTTTAAAAAATATATTTTATTGATTTTGTACAGAGAGGAAGGGAGAGAGATAGAGAGCTAGAAACATTGATGAGAGAGTGTCATCGATCAGCTGCCTCTTGCACACCCCCCACTGGGGATGTGCCCGCAACCAAGGTACATGCCCTTGACCGGAATCGAACGTGGGACTGAAGCCGACGCTCTATCCACTGAGCCAAGCCGGTCCTGGCTGCCGTTTTCATTTTGAATCGAAAAGAGAGAAAAGGCCTGCGAGGCCAGGCGGGGAGGGGGTCTCCGCTCCTGTCCGTCACGGGTGCTGGGGGCGGGGCCCGGACGAGGAACCTGCTGAGCCCCCGACCCCCACCCCCTCGGCTCCAGGGGCAAGATGAAGAGGATCGCGTTCCAGTTCACGCCCTACAGCTGGGTCCGCTTTGAGTGGAAGCCCGCCTCCAGCCTGCGCCGCTGGCTGGCCGTGTGCGGCATCATCCTGGTGGTAAGGCCGCCCGCCGCCCGCGCCCAGCCCGCGGGGCGGGGCCCGCGCCCACACCCCCTCTCCCCCAGTTCTTGTTGGCAGAGCTCAACACCTTCTACCTGAAGTTCGTGCTGTGGCTGCCCCCGGAGCACTCGCTGGTCCTGCTGCGGCTGGTCTTCTTCGTGAACGTGGGCGGCGTGGCCATGCGGGAGATCTACGACTTCATGGACGACCCGTGAGCCGCGGGCGCGGGCGGCGGGCGGGCGGCAGGCGGGTGGCGCCATGCAGGCGTCCGGCCTCAGCGCGTGCTCCCCGCAGGAAGCCGCACAAGAAGCTGGGCCAGCAGGCCTGGCTGGTGGCCGCCATCACGGCCACGGAGCTGCTCATCGTGGTCAAGTACGACCCGCAGACGCTCACGCTGTCGCTGCCCTTCTACATCGCCCAGTGCTGGACGCTCGGCTCCGTGCTCGTGCTCACCTGGACCGTGTGGCGCTTCTTCCTGCGGTGAGGCCCGTCCGAGCGGGGGCGGGGGGTCCGTGTGGCTCCGTCCGCCCGCTCAGCCGCTGACCCGCCCCCGCCCCCGCCCCCGCCCCCAGGGACATCACCCTGCGCTACAAGGAGACCCGGCGGCAGAAGCAGCAGAACAGCGGCGACCAGGGCAGCACTGCCCACGGGGACAGGCATGGCGACAGGCACCGGTCTGGGCGGGACAGCCCCCCGGGGCCCCTGGAGGCGGAGAGGGAGGAGGACCAGCACTGAACTGACTGCCCGCCCGCCAGGACACAGGCAGCCCCCTCCTCCCGATTCCGGCAGGAGCCTCCGGCAGGCCTCCCTCTGCCCAGCGACAGACAAGAGCAGAGCCAGCCCACGGCAGCACCCTGACCCCGGAGGAGCACGAGGCCCCGCCCCACGGGACTGGTGTGCGTGCGGCATGCGTGCCCATGTGCGCGTCCTGGGCTTTTCATCGGACAGTGTGGTGGGGCGCGCCCTGGACAGTGGTCCCTTCTTGTCTGCCCACAGGCCTCTGGGCCACCCTGAGCCCTGGCGCCCAGCGGGCCGGGCCTGATCCCCACCAGCCCCTCCGCCCCGCGTGCTCCTGAGACGGCCGAGACGGGCAGATCCGAGCTGCAGCCCTGAGCCGTGTCCCCGGAGCAGAGGGCATGGGGGCGGGGGGCTGTGCCCCCTGGAAGGAGGGGTCCTGGGTCTCTGGCCCAAGTTGGTCACCTCCACGAGCAGACAGAACAAATAAATGGCGAAGGTCTGAAGCTTGTGTCCTCACTGACCCCTCGCCCAGAGGGGCAGGGCTGCGGGCCTGGGCACGGTCACCCGCTGCCGCGATGTGCCCCTGGCGGGGCCTGCGTGGGGACGGCCCGGGAGGCTTCGAGTCCCGCCTGCTGGGGAGGGCAGTGTCCTCAGCTGTTGGACTGTCCACTCCCGGGGAGTTTCAGACCGAGGTGACGAGAAGGCTGTGGAGCGCCGTGGCCCAGCCCCCCCTCCCCGAGCCTGTCCCAGCGAGCGCCCACGCGGCCACGGCTGCCCCCCGAGAGGACTGTCGGTGGGCTGGCTCTGCTCTTGTCCTGAGCGAGACCGCCCAGTGCGCGTCCCTGAGGCGCAGTGGTGCTGGCCACGATCACGCCGCTAGTCCCAGCCTCCCTCCGGCTGTGCCGCCCCGTGGTGGTGGCCGAGCTCCCCACGCCTGCCTGAGCCTCTGGGCAGCCCCGGGCTCTCCGTACCAACTTGCAGGTACGGCTCAGGGCTGCGGCCAGAGTGCCTCCTGACTGCCCGTCAGGGCAGGGCGCCCCGTGCTGGCCGGCGAGGCCCGCCAGGCAGGGAGGGGCGTGAGGAGAGCGCGGGGTCCCGCAGCGCGGAGGCTACGGCCACAGGGGAGCCCGGCCGAGGCAGAGAGCACTCTGGTGCCCCGTGGGCAGACCCTGCTGTTCTCGGGCCCCGGGGCACACTGGCCAGGCCTGCAGACGCGCACGTGTGTTGACTGCCACGTCGGGTGGGCTCTGGGCGGCGAGGCCGCGCTCAGGACAGCGTCACCTGCGACCAGAACCTCAGACGCACAGGAAAGACAGGCCATTCTACCCAAAACGCTTTAATAGTCAGAGTCCCGGACGCGTGCAGAGCCGGTCTGCGTGTCTCTTCGGCGGAGCTAAGGCACGAGGTGGCCGGCCGGCCCTGGCCGGGCTCAGCAGATGATCTGCAGGCCGGGCTTCTTCTCCTCCAGGGCCCGCAGCTGGTCTTCCGTCTCCTCCCTCCAGTAGATGTCGTACAGGCTGTGGGGCGGGAGCGTGTGGGCCGGGCGGGCCAGGGTTCCCCACCGCGTCCTCCCCGGGGTGGCCGGGCAGCACCCTGACCCCGTCCGCGTCACTTACACCAGCTTCTCCAGCGGGCAGCTGGGCTGCTGGGCGCTCTCTGCCAGCTTCATGACGCCCACCTCGCTCATGCAGTTGTTGCTCAGGTCCAGATCGATCAGGCTGTGGTTGGTCAGCAGGAGGGCGGCCAGGCTGGTGCAGCCCTGGTCCGTCACCTCGCAGTCCCCCACCCTGGGCGGACAGGAGGGTGGAAGTCAGGACAGAGGCATGTCCGAAGGTGTCACCGACTGGCTGCGTGGCCTGGGCCTGTGCCGCCGCCGCCGCCGTCACGTGAGCCACAGGAGTGCACACGCCGCCACTCCCTGGAGCCCTGAAACGGAGCTGGCCCCAGGGAAGCACAAGCTGGACACAACCAGGACGATGGGGGACGGACAAGAGAGAGGCCGAAGGGAAAGCGAAGGCAAAGCCAAGGGCAGGTCTGTCGGAAGCAAGCAGCCCCCCAAGGCCTGACGCTGTGAGCACCCTGAGCCCAGACAGGACCGGGCCGCCCGGCGTGCTGGGTGCGCCCCCCCCCACACACACACACAGCACGCTCACTCACGAGAGAACCCGCAGGGTGGTGCCCGGCTGGCTCAGGCCCTGGCACAGCTCCTCCATGCCCGCGTCGCCCAGGTTGTTGCTGCTAAGCTGCAGCTCCTGCAGGCTCCGGTTCTTGGCCAGCATCGCGCTGAAGTGCTGGCAGCAGGCGGCCGTGAGGCTGCAGGACTTTATCCTGGGACACGGAGGACGATGCACCCAGGCCCTCCGGCACCCAGGGTTCCCCATGCCCCCATCCCCCAGAGAATCACCTCCACGGCCCTCGGTCCCCAGCAGGGTCCCCACCAGGCCACCCCTCCTCCGGGGCCACTGGCCTTCGGGTGGCCTCAAGGTCCCCTCGGCTGTCCTCCCTGCCAGGCCCGCCCCAGGCGGCGCTCACCACAGGGACTCCAGCCGGCAGCGGGGATCCTGCAGGCTCTCGCACAGCAGCCGCGCACCCTCGTCCCCCACCGCGTTGCCGGCCACGCTGAGCTCCCGGAGGCTCTCCTTGGCTCCGAGCACCCGGCACAGGTCCTTGCAGGCACTGGCCGTGAAGTCGCACTCCCAGAGCCTGCAGGGAGGGGACCATCACAGCAGGGCCACCGGGCATTCCCGCCCCCCCGGCCCGCCCACAGCGGACACGCCTGTGCAGAGCTGCCCTGACCCGCGGCCCTCTGCCGGCCCCACTCACCACAGGGTCTTGAGCCTGGAGCCGGGGCTCAGCAGCCCGGGGCACAGCGCTGCGACGCCCGCGTCCCCCAGCTTGTTGCTGCCCAGCTGCAGCTCGCTCAGCGAGGGCTTGGCGGCCACGATGGCGCTCAGGTCCACACAGTTGGCTGCGGTGAGGCCACAGCTCTCCAGCCTGGGGCACAGGAGGCGCTGTGGCCGCTGCAGACTCCGCCGCCCCTGCCCGCGCCCCGCCCCAGCCCGGCGCTTACCGGAGTGACTCCAGCGGGCAGGGGGAGTCGGCCAGGCCCCGGCACAGCATCCGGGCCCCGGCCTCGCCGATGTCGTTGTTGCTCACCCCCAGGTCCTTCAGCTCCGGCCTGGCCCTGAGCACGGCGGCCAGGGCCTCGCAGCTGTCGGCCGTCAGGTTGCTGTACTCCAGCCTGGGGACGGCGGGCGGTCAGCCCTCCCCCAGGAACATCCCCTCCCTCCTGGGCCGCGGAGGGAGACCACCCACCGGCACAGGCACCCACGCTCAGGAGACAGAGCAAGACGCCAGCCCCTCTCCCCGCATGGCTGAGCCCACCTGCGGGCTCACAGGGCCACGCCGCCCGCCACACAGGCACGCGGGGCCACGGCCAGCTGCAGCTCCTGTGAGAGGTCACAGCCCCACAGGTACGTGGGGGAGCCCCTCCTCCGACCCCCTGCACCAACGTGGGTGAAGCAGAGTGACCAGGCAGGGGGCGGGCATCGGGGGCCGCGGGCACACTCACTGCAGCTTCTCGATGTGGCACTGGGGGTCCATGAGCCCCTCGCAGAGCAGCTTCAGGCCCGCGTCCTGCAGCTGGTTGTAGCTGAGGTCCAGCTCGCGGAGGGAGGGCAGGGAGCGCAGCACGCCGGACAGGGGGCCACAGCCGGCCTCCGTCAGGTTGCAGTTCTGGAGGCTGTGGGAGCGCATGTCCATCACAGGGAGGCCACGCCCATCGCAGGAGGCCACGCCCACCCCGGCTGTGTGGCCAGGCTGGCCAGGGCACAGGTCCCAGGCCCAGGGCAGGAGGGGGAGCGTGGAGGGGGGAGAGGCCTTGGTCACAGTGCACCTCCCTCGGGAGCAGGCAGCCCGGCCCCAGGGCGGGCGCTGGGCCCCGCGCTCACCTGAGCTTCTGGATCTTGCAGGCAGGCTGCAGGCCCTGGAGCACCAGCTGCGTGCCCGTGTCGCCCAGCTCGTTGGAGGAGAGGCTGAGCTCGGTGAGGGCGGCGTTGTCCCGGAGCGCGGCGCTCACATCCTTGCAGCGCCCCCCGGTGACGCCACAGTCGACCAGCCTGCGGGCGGGACAGCGGTGGTCAGGCCACGCAGCAGCTCGTGGCCGGTTAGTGGCCGGAATAAGGGAGTGGCCCCTGGACGTTTTAAATGGACCGGGAAGAGTGGGCGGGTCGTCTCAGGACACGTGGCTCGTGGGCGTGGCCAGCTGCTCTCAGCTCCCAGGAAGGAGCGCCCAGAGGGCAGGGGGGACCTGAGCGGCAGGAGGGCGCCGATGGCCCCCCAGACCCCCGACAACGTACAAGGACCTGAAGGGCGAGCAGCCAGGCCGCTGTGACACCCGGGCACAGCCCCGGGGGATGCCCATGTCCCGAGGCAATTGCGCGAAGCAGGACGTGAGCAGTGCCCGGCCCATTGCCCAGCTGCTCATCGGTGACCACGGCAGGAACAGCGGCTCCGAGGACCGAGCTGACACCCCGAGCAGGCGGGCAGACCGGAACCACACGGCCCGCCGGCAGGACCCGCCCCTCGTCCCGGCGTACCGCCGGAGCCCTGGGATCGGCCCGAGGCCCACAGGGACTCTCTCCGGGCGGCAAGGAGGGCCGAATGCCACGCGGGTCCTGCACTGACCGGCGGAGGGCCAGGGGACGAGGGAGTCAGGCGGCTGCGCTGGCTCTGCACCTGACCGGAGCCCGGGCGCTGGGCGCTGACTGCAGGGGAAGCGGGGCCAAGGGCAAAGGGCACCCAGAACCCGCTTCCTAACCCATTTAAACGGGTTAAAGAGACTCCGGCAGGCACCTGCCCTCTGTGAGGCCCAAGGAGCTGCTGGGCTCAGAACCTCCGTGCCGCCAGCCGAGTGGCGGCCCCGGAGGAAGGGGCCGAGGCAGAGACCCGCCAGCTGCTCTGCCCGCTGCCTCAGGGCCTCCGTGCCAGTCCCACTGGCTAGAGCCAGGAATGGGTTTATGTTGTTAAACGTTTGGGGGAAGTTACAGAAACATTTCAGCTGCGTGGGAATCAGCTCACACCCGCCCCGGGCCCGGCCCACCTGACCACCGGGGCCTGGCGCATGAGCGGCAGCAGCTCGGCCCACCGGGCATCGTCCAGCTGCTGGTAGTGGAGGTCGAGGAGACTCATGGCGAGAGGCGAGTGTGCTCTGGGTGGAAGCAGAGGGAGAGAGGGGGACATGGAGGCCGGATATGGAGGAGAGCAGAGGGAGGCTGCACCCGCTGGCCCCCTGGCCCAGGCCCCAGTGGCCACAGAGTCCGGGGACACGGCAGCCACACAGCCCAGGGACACCTCCGGCCTCCGACCTGCCTTTTGGGCACCTCCTGCCTGGGAGAGGGTGGGGCATGGGCTCGCCACCTCTCCTATGCCCCGGCCAGGGCAAAGACCGGTAAGGAGGGTGGCCCGTGGGCCTGGACACAGAGGGGGACCCCAGTGGGGGAGAGGGATGGCGCACCGGACTGGCCGTGCTGTGGAAACCCTACCTGCCTCCTGCTCGGCCAGCTTTCCCCCTAAGAGCACCCCAAGCCAGAGCCCCTCCCCAAGATGCGAGCAGCTAGGCCTCCCCCCCCCCACCCCCCCGAGGCCGCTGGGCGGGGGCGACAGGAGCCTGCAATCCGGCTGCTCTCCCGGCAGCAGCCGAGTTCCCAGCCGGACACACTGTCCGTGCTCTGATTCCCTCGGGGGGTACACTCTCTGCCCCGGGTGAGCCCGCAGGGAGCGAGGCCTCTGGCAGAAGCTCAGTGAGGGGAGGTCACAGGCCCTGAAACCTGCCTGGACGTGCCTGCGGCCTGGACGCGCCTGCGGCCTGGCTGAGGTGGGCAGGGCCGTGCCTGGGGCGGGATGGGAAGCCGGGGAAGTGATGTGATTGACCTGCCCGTTAGAATGCCGCAGGCAGGATGACTCAGCCCCTGCGAGGCTCCCTGAGAACTCTGCCTCACTCGAACCCTCCCCCCCCAGCCCCCATTCCTGAGACTCTCCCGCTGGCGTGTGCACGGAGCCTGGCACTGCCCGGCCTGCTGAAGGGGCTGCCCCTCCCGTCGCGGCTGGATCGGGGCAGCCGGGGGCAGGCAGCCAGGAGTGACACCAGGGCCGGGCCTGATGGAACTGGGTCAGGGCCGGCGGGCGGCGGTGTCACCAGCGCAGTCACACCAGGAGCCGGGTCTGCCACGGCCCAGAGCACGTGAGCCGAGGGCACCCGCCCACCCTGGGAGCCAGGGCGCGGTCACAGACACTGACTCAGAAGCCGCCCTCACCCCTGCGGGAGGCAGAGAGGCCAGGGCACCCATGCTGACCCCTCCCAGCCGAGGGGACCCCGACCGCCACCGCTCTCCCAGGCGCACCCCTCCAGGAAGCCAGGCAGACACGGGCTCCACCCACAGGGTCTGAGGTCAGCCAGGCCCACCCCCGGGCTCACGGGACAGGGGCATCCCTGAACCCCAAGAAAAAGTGCGACATCCCCCAGGAGATGCCCAGGCAGGACCCCTAACCCGGCCCCCGCTGGCCGCCCGAGAGCAGGGACCAGAGCCGGGCCGGCCAGGAGGAGCCGCCATCTGGTCCCAGCGCGCAGCAGGCCGCGGAGGGCGGCGCCCGGGCCTGATCCCGGGACAGGGTGAGGGTGGGGGCCGGGCCCAGGAGCCGGCGCCGGGGACGGGCCCTCCACAGCGCTGGGCCTCCCGCCCGGTCCTCCCCGCATGGCCTGGCGCGGGGCTGCGTGTCCCGCCGGGCCCCGTGCTTTCTGGGCCGCGGGAACCGCCCGCTCCGCCGGGGCTGTCCCCCCGCAGCCCGCCGGCCGGGAACCCCACCCCGGCCTCACCTGGTCCCCGGCCCCGGCCCCCGGCCCCCGGCCTCACCTGGTCCGCGGCCCGCTCAGACTCACAGCTGCTTCCGGCCGGGCCGGGAGGCAGGCGGGCGGGGCGGGGCCTGAGCGGGCCGGGGCCTCGCCAGCTCATCCCCGCTCTCCCCGCCTCCCGCCTCCGGCAACGCCGGGCCTTCGGGCTCCGTCTGCGGAGCGGGGCCCGGGGACCCCCACCTCCGGGCCGGGGCGCAGGGAGGGCGGGCTGAGCCCGGAGCCCCGGCCAGTCCCCCCTCTCCCGCCCTCTCCCAGCCCCTGGTTCCCCGGAGCCCGGGCTGCGGGCACTGGCGAAGGAGGGACCGGGGCACCCCGTCTGCAGCCAGGCCGTCCACCCGCCGGAGCCCAGGCCGGGAGACCGACGGCCTGCAGGTCCCCAGGACACGGTCATTCACAGCGCGCCCCGCGGGCAGCCCGGGGAGGCCTAACCCACCAAAGGCAGGGCCGGTGGGCAGTCACCTCCCAGGCCGGCGAGGTCGCTGACAAGACCAGCCTTCACCTGAACTGAGCCCACCTGTCTTTCGGCCTCTAGGATAAGTGACCAGACGTCAGGTCTTTAACGATTTGTTTCAACGCCATGGGACGAGGGACAGATTGTTAAAAACCGGGACGTCTGGTCGCCTGGGATGGGCGAGGACAGAGACCACAGATTCCTGCATCATCACGTCAATAGCCCCTGCACCCCGTCATTTCACTTTTCACCCAATCCCGGGGTCCCCCCTGGCTTTCTCCTGCCGCCCTAATCTATCACCACCGGGCGCGTGTCCCCCCCTCGGATTGCCATGTGTTTAAGGCTGAGTAAAGCCAGAATACAGCAGTTTATGGCAAACATTAAAGCAGGGCTAGGCCCCGGGGGAGGTTTCACCCTTAGGTACTCATGACACTCATCTGGTGACTACGTGACTGCCGACCTGACCGCTGCGGAATGCACCGGAATGCACCTCCGGGAGCAGACCGGCCTAGCCTGGAATTACGGGAGGTGACCACCCGAGACCCACGGCAAAGACAAAAGAGGACTGATGCAGGGAGCAGGGAGGGGGGGAGGAGGGGTGCTTGCGTGCATAGCGGGGCTAGAGCATGAAAACTTAGAAGGAAGCCGAGACCGGTTTGGCTCAATGGATAGAGCGCCGGCTTGGGGACCGAAGGGACCCGGGTTCGATTCTGGTCAAGGGCATGTACCTTGGTTGCAGGCATATCCCCAATAAGGGGTGTGCAAGAGGGAGCTGATCGATGACTCTCTCTGATCGATGTTTCTGGCTGTCTATCTCTCTCCCTTCCTCTCTGTACAAAATCAATATATTTAAAAAAAAAAAAAAAAAGGAAACAGAGGGGAGTGCCCCTGTGCTGGTGCCCCGGCTCGGACCCCAGCCCAGAATTAATAAAGACTTTCTGCCTTTGCATCGGACTCGGCTCCCTGGGGGTCTGTGGGTTCCAGAATCTACGGGGCACAACAGCATAAAAATAGCGGAATAAAAACCTTCTCTGCAGCATTCCCCAGTCCACGAGGTGCTGCTACCCAGCAACTGCCAACGGTTTGGCTCAAATAAATCCTTCACTTTACAGGTGCCAATGTTTTCTATTTTCTTTTTTGAGTGTTTCCACGTTAGCCCCACACGCTGACTGGAGCGACCGTGGGGAGGACAGGGGAATGTTAGACACGGATGGTGTTTGAGACACTCAGGGGCCGCCGCTGAGCAGGCCACCTCCCAGGGCGCCTGGAGCCGGGGTGCCGGCCACCGAGGTCGCTGTCAGGGACCCTCCTGACGGCACTGTGTCTCCTCAGTCCGGCGGCCGCCCGGTCAGCCGTTCAGCGAACACCTACTGCGCGCCTAGCCCACCGCTGAGCAAGCGCCCAGCCAGCGCAGGTGGAGGTCCAGGTCCGGAGGGGACGGGAAACTCAGAAGGAAACGGATCGGGTTCAGACTGAGGAGAGTGCACAGGGGGTGATACTGCCCTTCCCTTCCCTCCCAGCTCTGCTCACAGGAGCAGGCGCCTGCCTCCCCGCCTTCCCTCCGAGGCCCTCTTCCTCTATGGGGCTCACTTCTGCCACTTCTGTAACTTCCTAAATACACATTCTCTTGTATTAAAAAAAAAAAGGGGGGGGGGATGGGGTGCTGCTGGAGCTGCAGGCCCAGGCGCAGCAGGCAGGTGGCGGGCTGGGGGAGGGGCTGGAGACCGTTCACAGGCCTGGAGGGTTAGGCCTGGTGCTGGGCGGTCTGTCCTCTGGAGGGACCGAGGGGAGCACCCTCGGCCTGGGAGGTCGCGGCTGGGCCAGTCCCTGCTTTGTGGCCAGGGGGTCCGGAGAGCCCAGGGCGGGCCGGGCAGGCCGGGCAGGCATAGGCCCCGTCCGGGAAGCGGCCCCACAGCAGGTGCACGTGCTCAACTTGAACTTCAACGTGACTTGGGCGCCAGGAGCAGGATGTGTTCTTGGAGGAACCGGACAGAGGCAGTGAGGCAGAAAACCTGGACGCATCTCCTGACGTGTGCATGGCTCCTGTCCAGTACACCCCAGGCGTGAGGCATGGTGGGCAGAGCGGCCCCAAAGGTGGCCACGCCTCCTCCCCAAGCCTGGCGGCAGTCCTCGCCCTGGCAGGGGGGTCTCTGTGGCTGGTGAGGGGCCCCGGTGGGAGGCGGTCCTGGGTGACCGGGGGTCCCAGACCAGGAGGATGTGGCAGCGGAAGCAGAGCCGCAGTGCTCGCACTCTGACCGGGAGGAAGGGCCCAGGGGCTGGGCCGGGGCCAGAAGCTGGTTCTCCCCGGAGCCCAGGCAAGGAGCCGCCTGCGGACACTTCGATTTGAACCCGCAGCCCACGTTGTGTTTGCTTTTCATCCGATCTCAGAGATCCATCCCCCTCCTGCTGCCTGCCGCGCCTGCAGCTGCCCCGCGGGTTCCACCTGACCCCCGCGCCGCCTCCTTTCACCCTCACTTGCGACACAAGCCGCGAAGCTGCGGTTCTCGGGCGTTTCCTCGCCCGCAGAGATGCTGCAGGCGGGTCCGTCCGCTCGGCTCTCAGAAGCCCTACGAAGCCCGACAGGCGCGGACACCTCTTACCTCCACGCCATCCTACAGGGGGGCCTGCCCGGCTCTAAGGCGCTTCCGAGACGCGGCCGGCCGGCGGCCCCGCCAGGCGGCCCCGACCCCCCGGCTCGCCCCGCGCCCGCGCGTCTCCAGGCCGGCGAGGGCGCGGCGGCCGGTGCCCGCCCACAACCGCCCCGCGCGCGCCCCGCGCCTCCCCCGCTCCGCGCCTCGTGCCGGCCGGGCCCCGCGGCCCCGCGCCGTG